AAATATGTTCAGGGCCTATAAAAACAAAAATACTGAATTTTACTGACATATAAGAGAATGCTTAACATTTAAAAAAATACACTGTGATGTTGGATGGGAAGATTCAGCACTGTAAAAATGTCTATTTTTTCCAAATTAAAATATAAGTTTAGTGACAGTCCAATAAATTCAATAAAGTGATAGTCCAGTAAAGGAAGAATGACAAAATTATTCTGAATTTCTGTTTTAAAAGAGGCAAAAAATCTAAGAAAATTTTGCAAAAGAAAACTAATAATGGAACGTATTTCCATACTACCTATTAAAACACATTATAAAGCTACAATAAATAGTATGATGGTACTAAGCCGTAAAAATCAATGAATAGATCTTCAGAAGACATTGCTTTGAAAAAACATTAAAATATGTAATAACTGGGCCAGGCGTGGTGGCTCACGCCTGTAATCCCAGCACTCTGGGAGGCCGAGGGAGGTGGATCACCTGAGGTCAGCAGTTCAAGACCAGCCTGACCAACATGGAGAAACCCTGTCTCTACTAAAAATACAAAATTAGCTGGGCATGGTGGTGCACTGTAATTCCAGCTACGCGGGAGGCTTAGGCAGGAGAATCACTTGAACCCGGGAGGCAGAGATTGCAGTGAGCCGAGATCGCACCATTGCACTCTAGCTTGGGCAAAGACACCAAAACTCCGTCTCAAAATAATAATAATAATAAATGTATGTAATAACTGAATCTGATGAATAAACGTTATAAGCCCGTAGGGGAAGGAGTGAATAATGCAACAAATGGTGTGGGGAAAATCAATAACCTCCGTTTAGACTTTCACCCAAAGTCTTTCTGTTGCCTACAAGGCCCTAGATATTTTAGTTCCTTCTACTTTTCCAACCGCATTTAATAACTTGGCTATCCCTGTTCCAACCTCCTTAGCCACATTTCTGTCTCTCAAGCATGCTAAGCTTGTTCCTGCCACAGGGCCCTGACCCTTGCTGTTCCCTCTGCATGGGGGCCCCTTACTTTCAAATGCCACCTCCTTAGAGATGGCCTGTCCCTGACAACAAATTCTCAAAGGCGCTATTTTCATCCTCACACCAGGCACTCTCTATAAATGGCACTGTCACTCTCTGAAATTACCTTATTTAAAATGTTCCTTGTTTGTTTCTCTGGCTAGATGCAAATTCCCTAAGAGTAAAGTCTTTGTTTCCTTTCTTCTCAAGTCTAAGTCTTCAGGGTCTAGAGAAGCTTTTAGCATTACTAGAAGCTTAGAAAACGTGTGTGTGTGTGTATACATATATCTGTATGTATATATGTTTATATGTATATGTATATTCCTATATATGGGGTGTGCATGTGTGTGTGTGTATATATATATGAAATGAACATAAGGATTCCAAACTACTCCAAACACAGATCTGTCTTATACACAATAACTTTGTATTAAATGTACATGGAAACAAATATTCACCATAATGAATTCAGTGGAACAGCAAAGCATTCAGTTACAGATTTATTAATAACAGTGAGGTATCTATTGTTATTCATTATCATCACATAACATCATCATTTAATTATAATCTTATCCTCATCACTTATTTTTATCATCATCATCAGCCACACTGTAAATATAGCATGATGAGACTCTTCCAGATCTAACTTTCAATTCCCATTGAATTCAGATCCTGTCTTTTACCCATGGTGATTCTTACTTTCCCTACAAATTCAAGGGCCACAGTGTAAAGCAAGCAAGAGGTAACTATTGGAAATGCTTTCTCTAAATGAGAGAAAGCAAGACTAAATGTGCTCTTTTGAACAGAATCTGGGAGTTCCTTGTCTAACCCTGCTTCTGCTTCTCCCTCTCCCTATTCCCTACCTCCATGCCACCTCCCATTCTTCAGGGGCAATCCCATCTGCTGACATCTGTCATGCTTCAGTTCCTAGTTGTCCTCCCACCACTTACTGTAAAACTGGGGGAAAAGAAGACTGCTATAAGGATCATACAGTGAGAAAAACCATTTCATTGTTATTGAAATAAGGCAAGAAGCTGAGAATCTGTAAAATACACTCAAAATTTAGGCACTGGACCATCCAAGATCTGAGAGCTGTACAACAGAATCCCTTCCAAAAAAAGCAGGCTATAAAAGATTTGTTTTTCTAATTGTTATATATTTCACATCATAAACAACCAACCACAGTCCAAAGACAGTGCTTGCTTCTTTGTTGGGGGGCTACGCATGGTTTTTGTCAGGTCCCCTGTTGCAAAGGATCAAATAGTTCTCCTGAAAGGAAATGTTTTTCAACATCCTTGCATTGTTTAGAGCAGTTTAATTATCCACTTCTTCAAAAACAGGAGATGTACAAGAAAAAAAAAAAATGGACTGAATCACTCAGATAATAGTTACATGTCCTTATTGAGCTTTCTTCTTTCTGAGGAATGTTTTACAATAAAGTATAAGACTTATTGCTGACCTCTGCAAAGGTCCAATGCAGCCTCAGGACTAGTGTGGCCAGACCAGGCCATATGTTTGATTTTGTTAATACATCTGTCCTAAAGAGTGAAATCTGACAACTATGACCCCATGAAGAAAAACTACTCCCCACCCTTTTCTTGATAATTTTAATGAAACAGAAACTGGCTGTGCTTTTCATTTTTAACCTTTCCATATTTTTATCAGCCTCCTGTGGAAGTTACTACTCAAAGGTTAAACTCTTGTATAATCTACTTATAGATAATTTTATTCACTGAACATTAAGAAGAAACATTATGTAATGATACTTTTCCATCCATTGCAATCAAAAAATATGTATTATTGGATCCATTCTGCAACCAGAAGCTAGCTACACATAGACATTTAATTTTCCTCCAGTTAAAAAAAAAATTTCTGTATGTTCCACAGCCCCAGAATTGCTTCATAAGAAAAAAAAAGTTTCAAGAACATGTTGTTTTTCACGTTCCTGCTCCTTAACCAACTTAAGACAATACACAAACTAAAACCATGAAACAAAAACATTCTACATAAAAATAAGATGAACATTTCTGTATCACATCATGATTTGTATAGTATAAAGATAACAGCTATTGCCACCTATGTTTAATATTGATCCCAGGCAAAAAAAAAATGAGCACACTGCATGTTTCTCAGCCCAGGCTACCTCCATTTATGCTCTTATTTGTTTACATGTCTTGTCATTGCAAATTTGCATTGAAATAGAAAGAAAAATGCCCAATAGAGGTTTCTGCCAGTATCTCAAAAGAAATTTTGCTTCAACCTCGGTATTCCAAACTTCATGCTTTGATAAGTATGACCATATGTGTCTCCTTCAGGAACAGAAAGTCTTTGGACTCGGATGTCTCCAAAGTAAGTGAGGCAGTTTGGCCAGAATGGACGTGAATAAATATCTGTTCTTTGTTTGAGTACTAAAAGTCAAGGAATTACAAACGTCAGGAAGCAGAAAACACAGATTACCAACAGGGACAATGATTTCAAAGAGGGATGGAAGGGAGTTATTAAAATAGAGACCTAAGAACGTGACTTTCCAAATCACACCTAGTATCTACATGTGGCTTTCAGTAGCTAGTCTCAAACATTTATCTTCTTTTTTGCTGTTTCACTCTTCCTCTCCTGGTCATTTCACCTCTGTCTCCTGGCTAATCCTATCCTCTGGTTTCTGAGTCAATATGACTCTCAGCCTGGAGTTTAGCCCCTACACTGTGTTAAGGATATATCAGTGAAGCAAAGAAAATCTCTGCCCTCAAGCAGCTTACATTCTAGGAGTAGGAAAAAGACTACAGACCAAAGAAATAATCAAAATATCAAATATTAGATGGCCATGCATCAATAATGGTAGTCAAACTTCTTTGACCTATAAAAATGACAATGTCATAAGAGTTCATCTATATATTAAATGGTGATAAGTATTATTTTTAAAATGAAGCAGAGAAGGAGACTAGGTAGTAAAGTAGATGAGGGAGTGAAGGCAGAGAGAGTTATAGAGCATTTAAAATATGGCTAATGCAACTGAAGAACAGAATTTTTAGTTTTATTTGAATGAATTAATTTAAATTTAAACAGCCACAAGTGGCTAATGGCTACCTATCCAGATAACATGGTCCTAAGTCTTGCCTCTTACATGCTTTTTTAAATTAACTGACAGTCTTCCATCTAGCTGATTCCCCATTGCAGACAACTTAGGCTCTAATTCTCACTCTTGGTCGATTTGCCTGAATTTCTGGCCTCAGACTTTCTTCCTGAATGGTTGTAGAAATGCTTCCAGAAAACTATGGCCCAATGCTGCCCAGCTTAGAAGCATAGGCCTGGCAGAACCCTGGTATCTGCCTACTTGCCCATGATCAGAAGTAGGATAGAAACCCTTTTTTAAAAAAGTGAACAGTAACTAACCAGATTTATTAAACACTACATTTAGACCAAATGAAAGAGATTAAATCCAGCAACAAATCAAAAGCACCTTCCAAACCTAAAATTCTAGGTAGACAACTATTTCTAAAATTATATTGTATTCACAGGATAATCCCAGGACCAGAAACCTCACAGAAATCCACCACCATATCAAAGCATCTAATGAACTCCAGGTATTATTTAACATCACCTATCATGCAGCCAGTCCTCTGAATCATTAATCAAAAAGTGCAACCTTCTCTTTCCTGCTGTTCTCAAGGAAGATACTTCAATACCCAAAGTATTATTTTCATAATTTACTGTCATTCACAGGCAACTTAAGCTATAGATATTCTTACAAAAAATATTGGGGTAACTCTTGCCTTTCATTTTACATTATTAAATCTAATACAGGTGCTCAATTTCAAATGAATATACATTTCTTGCTATCTGCCCGACTTTATAACCTACAGTCAACAAGTATAGTTTCAAATGTAATATTTAACTGGTATAGGAAGATGAAGTAAAATATAGCAAGAAAAAACTTTACAAGTGGAAAAGAAAGTGGATTTCATGTGTATCTGACAAAAGCAAGCGCAGCTCAACACTTACTGATTTAGCACGACATCAAGAATGAACGACGTTCCAAAGGCATCAACCTGGAAGCTTGCTTGGTCAACATGAGTCAACTACAATATCAAAAAGAAAAAAGGTTATTTATTACTCAGCCATACTAATTAAGCAATTAGTCTTTCTTATGATTATTTCAAAACACTTACAATATCATAAGAAAATAATTCAAAATGGAGAATAAGTGAAAACATATTAAAGTAAAATTTACATCTTCTTAGAAGCCAAGCATTCACCAATATGAAGTAAATTACCACCCAATCAAAGAGGACAAGTGCCCTACTTTTTTAGTTTACCTCAAGCGGTTAAGCATTTCATTTCCAAGATGACTGCACTTCATTCATCTTATCTGATTTTAAGTGACTAGCTTCTTTAAAATCAAGTTTTGTACATTTGGAAAGAAAATAAGTAAAATATGCTCAATTTAATAATAAAATAATATGGTGAACATGATATATTTAGAAAGAAGATATCTAAACCTCTACAAAATACCTTTTTCACTTATCACAAAGACATACTTTAAAAATAGTATTTCAGTTCTAATTTACCAGACATAATTTCATCAATGTTTCCACATCTTCCTAAAAGCAAAATTGAACCTCTGCACATCTACTGCCAATATCACCTATCATGTTCTTGTGTAAAAAAAAAAAAAAAAAAAAATTCACTATTTCCTATGCTATCCTAGGAACTCCCAGAGAAAACCACAAGGGACTCTAAACTAAAAAATATAGTGCTTCCCATAGCATTAATATTTGCATACTGAATAATCATGTGAATTAACTGAAAAGAAAGGAGGAAGCAAAACTGTGAGTTCCATTCGACTCACCAAATATGAACAGTAGCTATATCCAAACAGTAGGACTCCAAATTATTGGATTTTTTTGTGTTTATGTTTCCACAGTATCCAAACCTCTAAAATAAATATGTATAATCACTAAAACGAGAAACATGTGACAAACATTATTTTAGAGATTAAAAGCCACATGAGCAAATGCACATAGTATGTGAGACCAACAGAAACGCTGCTCCCTGAGATCAAGCGCATCCCAGAAGGGACATCTTAGGATTCTCTGGGGCCACAGGGGACCTCAACCATCCCTGGGATTTCACACGCAGTAAACTATGAGATTAGGTGAAAGGAGAGAGTCTGATTAATAACAAGGCTTTTTGGAAAGAAAGGATAATTCTTCTGTTTTAAAGTCTATCCTCCTATTTTAAAGAAGTAGGTACGGGAGAATCTTGTAATTCTGTTGCTAACACATTCTAATCCTCATAAAACCTCAAAACTTAAGAATCACCTGGGTACCTCTGAGCCTCATTAGCCATTCAAGTATCACTCCTAACTCTTCTCAACTAATACCCAGCCCCAACTAATCTTCGTTTTCTTTTTTTATGGTAGTTCTTGGAGCCACACCTTACTCTTCATTTCCACCTCTGCCATATATCATATCCCCTGATTTTTCTAAAGTTGACTCCTTATCAAAATCCCAAATGTAAGCCCTACATTTTCTACTGTATCCAAAAAAAAAAAAAAAAAAAAAAAAAAAAAAAAAAAAAAAAAAAACCCTTCTCCCTGGATTTCAGGATCTTCCATAATCACCTTCCCCACTCCAGGCATAATGGTATATAAGCACCTACCCATAGCCCACCTACACTCAGTTCTCTCTTCTGCTCTTTAGTTCAAAAGCTATGTTCATTCCAACATTTTCTGTGGCTTTTTCATTCATTAATTTTGCTGAGCCCTTTTCTGAACTAGACCCTTCACCAAAGCTGTTTCCCAGAAACGGCCCTACTCATCCTTCAAGATTTAGATCAAGTTCCACCTGTAGTCGTCTAGGACTGCCAAAACAAAATACCACAGACTGGGTGGCTTAAACAGAAATTTATTTTCTCGCAGTTCTGGAAGCTACAAGTCCAAGGTTGAGGTTTTGGTAGATTTGGTTTCTCCTGAGGCCTGTCTCCTTGGCCTGCAGATGGCCGTTTTCTCTCTGTGTCCTCACATAGCCTTTTCTTTGTAAGTGCACATGCCTGGTGTCTCTCTCTCTTCTTATAAGGACGCCAGTCATATTGGATTAGGGTCCCACCCTTATGACCTCATATAATCTTAATCACCTCTTAAAGGTCTCCCATCTCCAAACGCAGTCATGTTGGGGGTTAGAGTTTCAACATATAAATTTAGGGAGGGCACAATTCAGTGCATAGCACCTCTCTTCCATGAAGCCTTTTCAATCTCGTCTAGTCTCCTCCTCTCCTCCTCACTACAGGTCAATATCACATCAAGACCTTAGTAATGATCAGCACCAGGTATTTAGTTGATCTTCTGATCGCCTGATTCATTCAAAGGTTGTTATCAGTTCCTTGGATGTATAAATGAACAACAACTGAACAGTTATAAATTAACTGCTTACAGAAAGACACTCTTTCCATTAAAATTGCTTTTAAAGTGAGGTCAATGGATAACATCACTCCTTCCACCTAAAGCTCTTTGAGTTTCCTAGAGTGCTAACAACCATGTTTTGGGAAGAGCCTCTGCTTACCAGAAATGATGTTTCAGTTAAAATGAACCTCTCCCTCCTCCATTCTTCTTGTAGGACTATTAAAGCTCTTACCTCAATTTCCTTGATCAGAAACATTAATGCTACAAATCTGTGGTGAACAACGCAAGGGCCACATGTTATTCACCTTGGTATCCATGATTACAGCTTGAATCGAGGTAATGTTAAAAATTCTTCTTGGCAAGGTATTTACTGTCTGCATTAATTCTAATTCTTATCTTTTCTTTTTCCTGCAGCTCCATTTTACATCTGGTATCTTATTTTATTGATCTCAGTCATGTCCCAAAGAGAAACTCATGTACTTAAATTCAAAAGAAAATCCATTGACAGAATGCTTAACTACTGCTTAGTAAGAATGTTTGCATTATTGATAGTAATAGGAACAGGAGTATGTTAACATAGCTTTAAAATAAGGCAAGCTTCCTTAGACTGTATACAGACTGATTCATTCAATAACCTTCTTCTGAGAGCCTACCAAGTGCTGGGAGCTATTTAGATTTGGGGGATAAAGTAGTGAAGAAAACTGATCATATTTCTGCTCCTGTGCAGCTTATCTGATAGTAGAGGAGACAGAAAATGAACAATTAAGTTAAAAACAAGTTTAGAAAATAAACATAGTATTCTCAGACTTAATAAAACAGGGAAATACTGTCGAGAATGACCAGGGAAGATGAAGGACTAAGGGTGTCTCAGAAGGCCTCCAGAAGGAGGCAACATCCAGGTAACAACATTAATAACTAGAAGGAATCTGTGGTAGGGAGAATAATGAGCCCTAAATATGTCTACACTGTAATATCCAGAACATATGCACATGTTACCTCACATGGAAAAAGAGACTATGCAGATATTTTTAAGGACCTTGACTTGGGGAGATTATCCTGGATTGTCTGGATGGGCTCAATCTAATCACATGAGTCCTTATAAGTGGAAGGCAAGAGGGTTAAAATCAGAGAAGAAGCTCTGATGGTGGAGTAGAGATCAGAGTGCTAAGAGGAAGAGGGCAGGAACCAAGGAACGCAGGCAGCCTCCAGAAACTAGAAAAGGCAAGGAATGAATCTCCCTTAGGGCCTCCAAAAGGAGCAAAGCACTGCCAATACTTCACCTTACCCTTGTAAGACCTATTTCAGGCTTCTGACCTCCACAGCTGTAAGACAGTAAGTTGTTGTTTCAGGCAACTAAGTTTCTGCTAATGTGTTATAAAGGCAACAGGAAACTAATACAGCATCACTGGCACTGTCCCTGAACACTTAGAAAAGCAGTTCCAATGAGTTGACTGCACCAGTATTCAATAACACTTTCCTCCCAGTTTGGCTAAAACCAAGACACTTCCAGCAGCAGGGCTGAAACTCATGAGGCCTCAAGGATCAAACCCAAAACACAGGACTTCTCACCCAAACCAAACTTGCATTGGTGGTCACTAAAATAAATGTGAGCCTGGTTTCTTTGCATTTTGTGTGGTCTTCCGATATTCAGGAACCTACCTTCCCTATGTTTCTGGCTGATAAATAGGACAAAGAGAAGAAATATGGTTTCTTCTTTTTTTTTTTTTTTTTTTTTTTTTTTGAGACAGAGTCTCGCTCTGTCGCCCAGGCTGGAGTGTCATGGGGCGATCTCTGCTCACTGCAAGCTCCACCTCCCGGGTTCACGCCATTCTCCTGCCTCAGCCTCCCGAGTAGCTGAGTAGCTGAGACTACAGATGCCCCCCACCACACCCGGCTAATTTTTTGTATTTTTTTTTTAGTAGAATGAGGTTTCACCATGTTAGCCAGGATAGTCTCGATCTCCTGACCTTGTGATCCGCCTGCCTCAGCCTCCCAAAGTGCTGGGATTACAGGCGTGAGCCACCACACCCGGCCAATATGGTTGCTTCTTAAGGTTATCTTGGAGACGGAATAAAGTAAATGAATTACACCGAATTGCTGTATTATCAGGCTTATTATTCAACACCACTGAAGTGCGACAGGATGGTTCTCACACAGTTACTCTTGGACCTTGCCTTTTTAGTTTAAGGAAAAAGGTAGGTTTGAGAAGAGAGAATCAGTATAATACCAAGATTTTCCTTTGGTGGGGGAAACAGGCTAAGATACTGTCAAGGAAAAATTCCAATATTTATTAACTTTAAGTTGAAGATTAAAAAGTAGTAATACCTCTCAGAGATATTGGAAAAACATAACTTTGCAGAAATGCCATCTTTCAAATTACTACATAAGAATGAATTCTGATTTTAAAAACTATTAAACAGGTACTTCAGGTATTAGAATAATACTGAGAGAATTCCTAGAGTTCATGTAATACCAGATCCTTAGTATATAAATAGGGACACTGAGGCCAGTGTGGGCAAAAGTCACTTCCAAAGTCACATTTTTGGTGGCACAGTAGGCATCCCACCTGCTGGTAGGCCTTTTTCATCATATTTCAACTCCTTGCTTTCATTCTACAGCTTGGAGGTACTTGCAGGTTTTACTGGGTTCTAATGAATAATTATCATAATAGAAATCATT